TAGATTGCGCCATAGGAGAATATTTGTCATATTTCTAACTAATAACAAATCTATAATTTGAAGAGAAATCTAAAACGAAAGGCATCTGCTATAGAACTATACATAGCGAGCCTTATCGCGTACCTTGGTTTAATGATTGTGATCTCAGCAGAAATTTTGTTAAGTTAGCCTTAAGGCTTCGTTCTGGTCATACTCCATCAGCAAAGTTCGCTTTTTTAATGGAAAAAAACCTTCACCGAATTGTGATGTATGCAAAAAAATTGAAGATGTTTACTATTTGTTGATGGAGTGTGTCAAGAATGAAAAAGATAGACAGGCTGTGTTGAAAGAATTTAACAAAGATGTCAAGAGGGTTATTCCGGCTTGCTTCTAGGACTGAATAATTATCTTCTCTATCTATAATAAGTTTCATTTTTGGGTTAGTAATTTAACTAGTACTCTCAATTATACATTTTTATTTTGTTATAGTGTTAGCTGTAGTTGGTATAAAGTATGATGGGATTGGCATGTCATTTTGACAAAATATCCCAAAAAAATTTAAAGAAAAAAACTGCTAATTTGAGAAGATGATTCTACCCATTTCCTGTTTCTGTTTTGTCGCCTCTTACAACACCCACGAATAGTATTGGGTAGTGGATTTCTCAAACATGAAGAACAATAAAGAACAGACAAGAAATTTGAAACAATAGCTTAAAATCATTTTGAGGTTGTCACCACCACCTTGTCTATTTCTGTAGTCCCAAATCAAAAGTCTCAAGTCTCAGTACGTCCATTGCTGTATTCTGATTTGAAGGCTAAAAGAACGTGCTCAAAAATCACAACAAATCTGTGCCTTACTTTGTTTAAAATTAGTTGCAGGTGTTTTACATATTGGGTATAAAAACCACTGCGTGTTTCCACTGATGACATATGAATTTCAGGCGTGGGGAAGGCCAAGATCGCTGAGTGAGCTATGGGTAGGGCTATGTTCTCTGCGCGATCGAATTCATAATGAAGATATTCGTAGTTGAACTAGGCCATATACCTAGCCCAACGGATCAGTACACTGAAATGACAATGAGCCTGCTACATAGCTCGAAGAACCGACAACCGATGGGAAAGAAAGGTTCTTGAATGGCAGCCTCGTGCCGGTAATAAAAGTGAAGAGTCCACTATTTGGAGTGATGACTAGGTAGGGTATGCAAGAAGTCGATGTATGAAAGTAACTCAGAACCGTGTTGTGTGGCACTCCTTAGGGGAGGCCTATGGTAAACAGTGGTCGTGTGAAGGATGGAATAAATAGTTCATACGTTGCAGTAGGCACTTACCATATATACCTTCAGTTCGTTTGTCACTCTCATATTAAAAAAAATACTAAATAATTTTAAAATTTGTAAATTAGCTAATTTTACTTTTATTTGCAACTCTAACTGAAAAGAGTACAGTAAATTATACGAAATGTAAGCAATATTATTTTATACAATACAATACAATACAAACACTCACGCCTGTCACCCAGAGGGGTAGGCAGAGACTACGGACTTCCATTTGGCGCTTCCATATATCTACGCATACACGCTCGTCGGTTAAGGGTACTACTAATCTGGCCCATTTTTAATGTATCGCCAATTTGGTGGATAAACCTTCGTCTAGGGCGTCCCTTCCCGACCCTGCCGTTCACTTCTGCAACATAAATTTTCTTTGTCACTCTTCCCTCGTTCATTATTTCTACGTGACCAAACCACCGAACCATTCCTTTCTTAATCCTTGTCACAACGTCATCTTGCAAACCACACTTTTCTCTTATCACACTATTTCTCACCCTGTCATTCAGATTCAGCCCTAGCATACTCCTTAAGGACCGCATTTCTACAGCATTTATTCTCCTCTCATGCTTCTTCTGCCAGACCCAACTTTCACTACCATACATTAAAGTAGGGACTAACACAGCATTATGAATTGCCATATGTGCCTTATTTGACACATTCTGACTCTTCATAATAGCGTGTAGAGCCCCATTAACTCTATTTCCTGCGTTCACTCGTCGTCCTATATCCTTGTCATATCTACCATCCCTGCTAAATAAACATCCCAAATATACAAACTCATCCACTTGCTCAATCAATTCCCGTTCTATTCTTATTTCACATAACGTTTTACTTTCTTCTCTCTCAAAAACCATCACTTTCGTCTTACTTACGTTCATTTTCATACCCCTTTCTTTCAATGACCAGTTCATTAAAGTAACCATCATTTGCAACTCGGCCGCCGACAATGCAAATATGACTTGATCATCGGCGTACAAAAGGCATTTGACGGTTGACTCACCCATTCTCAACCCACATTCTTCAACTTTCAAAGTTTGCAAACAACTGTCCATAAATAGGTTAAACAGGCACGGGGAAGCCACACATCCCTGTTTGACACCTTTATGAATGCCAAACCAGTCCGAGTAGACCCCGTTGATCCTGACACAAGCACTAGAGTCCCTATAAAGAGACCTTAATGCCTGTATCAAGCCAGCGCTCAACCCAAATGAGTTCAGTGTTTGCCATAACATATTACTGTCCACTCTGTCATAAGCCTTTTCCAAGTCCATGAACGCACAGAAAACTTTAAAACTTTTCTAGTTTTTGGCCAAAAACTTTTCCGCAATCATGCGCATGTAAAAGACTTGATCCGTACACCCCATCCCCTTTCTAAATCCAGCGTGCACATCCCAAATTTTTCCATCAGTTTCTTCCATAACTCTTTCAATTAACACCTTAGCATGCAGATTACCCGCAATGCTAAGCAAGCTGATACCACGGTAGTTTTTACAGTCCTGCTGCGGGCTCTTTCCTTTATATATTGGGACTATAACGGCACCAGTCTTCCGGTACCCGCTTCAGTTCCCAACATAAATTAAACAAGGTGCACAACAGGCCTGCAACCACACCCTCTCCAGCCCTTACCATTTCGAGTGATATTCTGTCATATCCGGCTGCCTTACTTGCTTTCATGCTTTTCATGGCTTTCATTATTTCATCTACACTTATCTACCTACCTCGCTCCACTTCTTCCGGAATTTCTATTTCACTTATTTCAGACGACTCTTCACTCTTAAACACGCTTTCAAAGTATTCCTTCCATCTCTTTAAATTCGAAACTTCATAATTCAGTATGCAGCCATTCTCGTCTCGTATAGCATTCATTCTAGTCTTTTTGAATTTCCCCTGGCAGTTCTTACGAGCTTCCAGAACATTTTAATATTTTCCTGGAAGTTATCAGATATCCTTCTATCATTCTTATCTATCCTTTCTTGCTTTTTCCTTTCAACAACTTCTTTTACTCTCTTATTTATACGTCTAAAGTCTGCCTTTTTTCTTTCAATGTCATCATTTATACCGCCAGAATTACCAGCTTTGGTTGCTAGTAAATCTAGCCATGCTCTCTTCTTTGCTTCAACTTCCATCCGTACCTCATCATCCCACCACAACGTATTACTTTTCCTTTCATTCTTTCTCTTACACCACATACTTCGGTGGCTGCATCCACCAAAATTTTCTTAATATAATTCCATACATTCTTCAAGTCTAAATCATTCATACATAATTCATTCAACCCACTTATATTTTCCCTCAGTCTGCATTTATACTTCTCTTTCACACCTTCATCTTGTAACCTCTCTATTCTAATACGCTGTAACGCAGTGGTAGATACAGATTTCCGATGCCGCCAACGCCTGAATAAACCATTAATTCGGCATAAGACCAAGTAATGATCCGTCCCTACGTTGGACCCCCGGTAAACCCTTGTATCTTCCACTGCGCTCCTCATTCTTTCATTCACAATTATGAAATCTATCATGCTTCTGTCATCCCCTCTTTCCCATGTATACATGTGAATCCTCTTATGGCGAAAGAAAGTGTTCGCCACAAAAAGATTCTTTTCCACACATACGGTGAAAAGGTCTTCACCATTCTCATTTATTATTTCATCGCCAAACGTTCCTAATATCCTTTCATAACCAGACCTCATCATCATTCTCTAAACCATTTCCCATTATCTGGGGTCGGCGCAGTAAATCTTTTTGTTCCATTCCTCTCTATCAGCCGTCATTTCCATACTTACTCCTTTCATTCTCATATCACTCTTCACACAATCGATCCATCTTTTATTCGGCCTTCCTCTGCCCGTGTGTCCCTCCACATTCATATTCAACACTCGTTTTGTGACATGACTTTCATTCCTCCGCATCACATGCCCAAACCATGCCAATCTGCTTCCTCTCACCTTTTCTACCACTGGCGCTACTTTCAGGCTTCCTCTTATATACTCATTCCTTATCTTATCCATCCTTGTCACACCACACATCCATCGTAACATTCTCATTTCATTCGCATGCAGTCTATTTTCATCCTTCTTCTTGACGGCCCAGCATTCACTTCCATACATGACGACAGGTCGGATGATCGATTTGTAGATTTTCCCCTTCAGCCTTATTGGCATTCGGGGATCGCACATTGTGGCTGTGACCTGTCGCCATTTCATCCACCCTGCGTTAATCCTATGCTGCACAGCTCTATCTATTCCGCCGTCGCCTTGAATGAGGGAACCAAGGTACTTGACATCTGAGCAGATAGGCAGTATAGCGCCATCCAACGACATGGGTACAGGACTGGAAAGACCGCCGAAATCACAGCACAGATATTCGGTTTTGGATCTGCTGATCTTCAGGCCAACACTTTCCAGCCTCCGTTGCCACCCCGTCAGTCTGCTCTGTACCTCGATGCCTTCCTCCCCGACAAGCACGATGTCATCGGCAAAGAGCATGCACCAGGGTGCCTCATCCTGCAGGTCCGACGTCAAAGCGTCCATAATCAGTAGGAAGAGGTAAGGGCTCAGTGCCGACCCTTGGTGCAGCCCTACCGCCACATCGATACTGCCCGTAGTTCCCGCGGCAGATCGTACACATGTACGGGATGCTCTGTACATAGCACGGACCAACCTCACATACTTCCCAGGCATACCTTTCATCTTTAACGCCCACCACACGACCTCACGGGGAACCCGATCGTAGCCTTTTCAAGGTCGACAAAAACCATGTGCAGATCTTTATGCACGCGCTTGTACTTTTCGCACAATTGGCGTAATGCGAAAATGACATCTGTCGTACCTCGACCGGGCATGAATCCGAACTGGTTTTGTGTTATCTCACACTCTTCTCTCATTCTTCTCTCTATTACTCTTTCCCAGACTTTCATCGTATGTGACATGAGCTTTATTCCCCGGTAGCTGCTGCAGTTTTGAACGTCTCCTTTGTTTTTAAAAATGGGAACCAGTATACTACTGCACCATTCCTCAGGTATTTGTTCTTCCTGCAACAATTTACCGAAAAATAAACTCAACCACTTCCATCCATCCGCCCTCAGCAACTTCCACACTTCTACTGGTATTCCATCTGGGCCGACCGCCTTCCCATTCTTCATATTCCTAACAGCCATTTTTACTTCTTCCACACTAATTTCTCTCACTAAGCCCATATTCACTGGTGGGTTTTCAAGCATACCATTCCATTCGTTCTCCTCATTCATCAATTTCTCAAAATACTCCTTCCATCGCTTCTTTATACTTTCATCGTCAGTCAAAATCCTTCCAGAATCATCTTTTATACATTTTACATGTGAAACATCTCTTCCATTCCTTTCTCTCGCTCTTGCAATTTGAAAAAGTCGTTTTTGACCTTCGGGGCTTTCAAGGGACAAATATAATTTATCGTGCGCCTCTGCCCTACAAATAGCAACTTCCTTCTTCGCTCTCTTCTTACATTCTTTATACGCCCCTCTCTTACTTTCTTTTATGGATTCATTCTGGTCTTCTACGCTCTGCCATTCTTTAAAGGCATTTTTCTTTTCTCTCAAAACTTCTCTAATACTTTCACTCCACCACCACCCATCCTTATCTATCATACGCTTCCCTTTTGTTTCTCCTAACACCTTCCTTGCCACACTTCTGATACAATCAGCCATTTCCTTCCAGCACTCATTCACACTCATTCCTTCCATATCACCCATCTCTATCATCTTGTTTACAACTAGCTCTCTAAATTCACTTGCATACCCCTCCTTATGCAGCAAATGCCACTTTATTTTGGGTGGGGGACGATCCTTATGTTTGTTGAGGCGAACAGTTAAGCAGATGTCAGCCAGCAGAATTCGGTGCTGGGATACTAAGTCTTCACCTGGAAGCACTTTGCAGTTTTTTACACTCTTGATTTGGTTCCGTCTTATCAGAAGATAGTCGATCTGTGTCGCGTGGTGGCCACTTTTATAAGTAACAAGATGCTGATCTCGTTTTTGGAACCACGTGTTTACTACAGCCAGGTCGAAAGCATATGCTGCTTGCAGAAGAACCTCCCCCTCACGGTTCCGCACTCCGTACCCCCATCCACCGTGTACTCTTTCATACCCGTCATTCACTCTCCCTACATGTCCATTAAAATCTCCTCCCATATAAACATCCTCACGCTCAGGTATTCCCATCATCATACAATCAAATTGCTCCCAAAACTTCTCTTTCACACTCTCTTCACAGCCTGTTTGCGGAGCATACACACTTACAACATTCACTACTTTGTTTTCAATCATTAATTTAACAACTATCATTCTGTCATTTACTCTTTTCACATCTGTCACTCGTTCTTTCATTCCACTATCTAACACAACTCCTACTCCATTTCGCTTCCCATCACTTCCACAATAATAAAACTTATATCCCTCCCCAATCTCTCTTGCTTTATTGCCCTTCCACTTTGTTTCCTGCAAACAGGCAACATTCACTCTTCGTCGTTTCAAAACATCTGCTAACTCTCTTCCTCTTCCAGTCATCGTACCTATATTCCAGCTTGCAAACCTCACTCTGACATTCTTCTCTCTCCGGGCTCGCCTCTTACGTCGCACCCGCTCCGTAAGGTGCGACAACCCTTGCCCACTTCCCACAAGAGCCGGGTGCTGCCCCTGCGCGTCGCCTGCGGGGTACGCCCTAGCCCTGTCATATGTCCCACAACTCGTACTATTCATTTACTGCATGGGATTTGGCAAAAGTTTTACAGTCGGCCGCCTGCCTGACACCAACCCTCTTTGGGTATGCTATTGCTGGTAGAGGAAGCTACCATTTTGGGAAAAGGAAAAAGAAGTTTGGGGGTAGGAGCATAGGTGTAAGGATACTGTTATCTCGGCAGGAAAGGTATGAGAATAACAGTAGCTCGGGGAGCCGGGGTCGCGTACCCGTATTCCATACCAGGATCACCGGAAAGGTAGACCAGCATGAGAACCCCCTGACTATATAACCAGACCTATTCACCCCAAAACTTCCATTAAAATAAAAAACATAATAATATTTTCATTTTCCTTACATTTCATCAACACCAGCCTAACCATGTCCCAAAACTGCTCTCGGATATAAGTGGGCTTAGACATATCTGGGGCGTACGCCCCTAGCACAAACAACTTCTTTAAGCCCACTTTTATTCGTATCCACAGCAGCCTTGGTAAGCCCAAGGCTGCTGCTTTCACACATTGGCCCATTCTTTCTGAAAGGATGACACCGACTCCCTGGCATGCCCGCTCGGTCTCGTCTACACCAGACCAGTAAGCGGTATACATGCCATATGTAGTGACATCTCTTCCCTTTCGTTTCGTCTCGTTTACACATAACACATCTATTCCTCTTTCATTCATCATTTCGTATACTTCATCCATCTTATCATTCATTGCTCCACATACATTCAGCGTAGCCAGACGGGCCTCCACAATCCACTTTTCGCCCCTCCGGGAGACAGGACGTGACGGGTGGCGAACCTAGTCGCCGGTTTTTCTCCCGGAGATTCTTCGCATTATTTTGTATCACAAAATCATATTCAATATTCTGAAAGTCTAAGATTTCCTGAAGTAAGTAAAAATGTTGTTACAATTATTCCATAGCGTAATAAGCGATCATTTTCCAGTTGGGTCGCTACAGGGAAATCCTACGAATGCCATCACGAAAGCATGAGAAAGTAGCACGAAATGACTCGGATACAGATAAGGGCTAGTAACTCGAAATTCTATATGAGACGTCTCGTTTGTAATATTCGACTTCAAATAGCGTTTATTTATTTATTTTTCTACATTAATCTCTTATAAGCTAGTGCTTGACTACTAACCGGCCATTGAGCAATGGCCCATTGAGTACAATAACCAGTAAAGCGTTACCTTTATCTATATATTAATTATAATATTTAATTCATAATCGTAAGTAAAGAATGTTAGATCATAAAGTTTTATATAAATCAAAATGAGTTTTGTTACAATTTCCTCGTTTATTTTATAATTGATGAACATTTGTATATTAACTATGATATTATAGTTTCTTTACACATTTGAATGATTTATAATAAAATAAGTATATTACTTAATTTATTCCCACTAATTGTATTACTAACATAATCTTCTGTCTAAAAACTAATTTTACAGGTGTTTCCCCTCTAAATGCAAATAATACTACCCCATGCCGGTGTAATCGCCCATTGCGGACATTTTAATTGAAACTAAATTGCATTAAATCCACTACCACCTAACCTTAGTTTAGTTAATTTAATTGTTCAGAATTTGGTATAAGTAATCGTATTATTACTTTGATATGGAAAAATAATAAGCTGCCTTTATACTATTTCCACCACCTAACTACAGTTTATTCTATACATAAAACATATTCAAAAGCATCAGTTACAGTAACTTTTGTTTTTTTTGTTTTGGTTTGTTCTTTATATCGCACCAATTTGATCACTTTTATGCATAATTTCACGAATCACAAACTGCTATAAGGCTTTGAATTCGCCTTTTGTAAGCCTTAGTTTAGGAATCCTACAATAATGACCTAACAATCGTTTACGGGACATAGGCCTCTTTCGTTGTAGAAAAGAGAGGAAATATTTGTTTTATAAAAGCAAAACAACGTAACTAATATCATAATGTTATTTCATTTATATTTATTTTATCCATAATTCAATTTAAATTACACATTATTATATCTTACTATCATAGTAAATAATGCTTAGTTTATAATATTGCTTCGTGTTAGGACTTCAGTAATCATCACAATATTATTTCATATAATTTGATGAAATAGATTCATTTATATTTCATTTATATTTTCATATTCAATTTAAATTACACATTATTATATCTATCATAGTAAATAGTAATGCTTAGTCTATAAAATTACTTTGTGTTAAGACTACAATAAAATATAAACTCAAAAGGATGATGATATAATATGAAAAATACAGAGTTACTTTACAAAATTTTATGTTTTGGTATGAAATTTGTTGTATTTTAAAATGATATTAAACATGTGGTAAAATTAAAAGTTTTGAGCTCAATTCAATATAAATAATATGAGAACATCTTCAATGTAATCATCAAGTCAAAGTTTATTAAACACGCCTTATTAAGGATAACTCAAAAACTACTGGTCAGATCTTGATAAAATTTATATGGGTCCACACGAAAAGCACCATTCCTCAAATAAAAAAGAATCATCAAAATCTTATGAAAAAAGTTCTGACGTAACACAAAAAAATAGAGTCGAATTGAGTACCTCCTCCTTTTTTGAAGTTGGTTAAAAAATAATACGTGGGTATGATTACGGAAGCGATAGCGTCAATCATTCCTTTTTTTACTTTTTACGTCTTTTACTTAAAGTGCAGTTTCTTCTCTACCAGTATGTTTATACATCAAAAGTTAAGAAAAACTTGGAAAACCCAAAAGAGCACACCTCGAACACTATGATGTTTTGCATAATTAATTTACTTTTATTAATTACCAACATGTATTTCGTTTAAAGCTTCAAAAAATTGTTTCTGTTTAATTAACACGAAAATTTTTTTGGCTGCTTGATACCGGTGATTCTTATTTTGTTTCCGAAAAAAAAATTCAAATAATTAATAAAATTAAAAATATATTAATGAACGGGACGGTTTACAATAGTGAAATTCGAAAGGCTTCCTGAGGATTAATATCTAAAAAATCAAAGTAATAAGTTCAGTATTTCGAATGATATCTTGTTCACATTCATACCGACCAACAGCGACTTCACCCGCGTGTAATTTATTACGATTGGATTTCATGTGTTTTAATGTTTTTGCGCGGAACCCTAATTCTTATTCAAAAACAAAAATAGCCTAAGTAACTCTTTATAACATCAGCTATCTGCCAGTGAAAGTTCGGTCGAAATCCATCCAGCCATTCTGGAGATTAGCCGGAAAAACAGAAAAGACAGACAGACAAAAATTAAAAAAAATGTGTTTTGTTATAAGTACCGTAAATAGTTTCATATGCATTTAGTGAAAAGTTGTTATTTTGACATTACAAACAGACACTTCAATTTAATTTATTTCTATAAATTAACTTTTTTATAATAATCGAAATAAATAATCTTATAACTACGTGAGAAGTATTAATTGAAATCTCCTCTTGCTATTGGTGAACTTTTTTATTATACAAGTGCAATATAAGCTGGTGGAGATGAGTGGATCGATATTTTAATTTGGTGATAATAGAACTCTACAACATCGCTTCGCGTTCGATGTGTTCAATTGCATGAATTGCATTATAATCATGTAGCAACACTTCGTACGATAGTCTAAGGCGCAGTCCACTTCCTTCAAACATTTTTCTCATCGCTAAGCTGAATATTTAACTTTAAGTATTGTTATAAACACGAAATAGTTTAGTAATATTCGACACAATGCACAATGAGCCACGGATAAAGTTTTCATTAAAATAAATTTTGTAATTTCTGCAAAAGAAAACCTTACTTACAATTAACCACCAATTGTTAGTAAGGGTAAACCAAATCGCACTCACACCAATTTTTTATATTATATAATATATCATAATAACGAAATTTTTATTATTCCTTCAATTTAAACCTTGTTTTTCATATTCGTAAACTTATAAACTTTTTATTAGCCTCAGGCTAGGTACACACCAGGTTTTGACCAGGTTAAGGGACACACACCCCGAATGGCGGCCTTGTCGTGGCGGGTAGGGGGGGGGGGGGGCTTAGTAGCCGTGCCTTGATCACCCGCTGTTGGGGCCAGGAAGGCTAGTGCTTCTGAGCGCTCGTTTTTCCTGGCCCCATGGCCTCTGCCTATCGGGCACGTGGCCATCCGTTGCGTGGGTGAAGTTGGTGGCCCTTTAGGAAGGCACGCCATGTGTTCTGGTGTGCCTTACCTGAGAAGGAGATGCGGGAGGAGTAGTCCTCTCCCGATGAGGGAGACGCGTTCTCGTGGCCCTGCCAATATGCACTAAGGTGGAAAACCCAGGGGGTTTTAGTTGGTGCGAGTCCGACATAACCCGTGTTTTCCCCGCGAGGTGGCTAAGCGTAGGCATTTCCCCATACAAAATAAAAAAAGGTAGGGGAACACAATTTTGAAGTATTTTATGTAATTAAATAAACACTAAATGAATTATACATTTATGAACTATTCCTTAAAGAAGATGGCCGTGTTTCTCTCCATGACGAATGACGAAGATCGACCCTCAACTGCGATCACTTGGGAAAATGTGGCTACTGTGAGGCAACTAATTGAAGAAAACCGGCGCATACCCTACTAGAAGTTCGGGGACATTTGTGTATTGGTAAGAACCAAATAAAAAAAAATTACCAATTTTAAATATTTTTTTAAGTTAGAAAATTTTGTTACAGTGCAATTCCTCACAAACTCACCCCAGAACAAAAACGGGCTCGATTTGGTTGGTGTAAAAGAATGTTGTTATGGAATGAGCACGGATGTTCAAACTCTATGTATGATATTGTGATAGAAGATGGAATATGAATATAT